ACAATAGGGTGAATGGTTTGGACTATTTGGTTAATGGCCTGGAGGTCTTTTACTAGTTGATATGACCCATCTGATTTCTTTACAGGTAATATGGGGTATTATATGGAGACATACAGAGTTCAAGTAACTTATCCTGAATAAGACCTTCAGTCCCAGTTTTCAGGCCTATGGTGCCTTCTAGAGGAATTGGATATTGCCTTCTGCTTTCCCCAGGGGTTTTCAACTTTGTATGAATTGTGAGGCATTCCTAGTTTCCCTCAGTTCCCTTCTTTTGACCACAGATTGGGATGAATGTAACTTTTTTCTGTGGTAGTGAGCAGGTTCAATGAAGTGAAAAATCCTTCAGGGCAGGCATGCAGGCCTATGCCTAGTTTTAATATCAGGTCTCCTCCTAACAGGTTTGTTCCTGCTTCAGGGATTAGCAGGAATTTAATACTGGCTGATTGATTTTTGTATTTAACTTCTGTTTCTTCTAAAACTTTGGCTTTAAATCCTTCCCCTTTCACCCCTATGATGAGAAGTTCCTCTAATGAGCAGTTTATATTAGAGGGCCAATAGCCAACAAAGGAACCAGCAGCCCTGAATCTGTTAAAAAGGTGATAGCTCATGTTTGGGTCCCACCTCTAAATTTATCAAGAGCTCTTGGTGGGACTTGAGATAGAAAGGACAGAGCCCCTGACCTCCCTATTCCTCCTCGAATGCCATGAGTGGAACAATTTCTTTTTCCTTTTCCCACTGGGGGCATTCTCTTTTGAAGTGGCCTGCTCTTCCACATTTGAAGCACCTATCCTGAGTTCTTCCTCTCCCTCAGTTTTGGGATTCTTTGACCTTGCTCCCCCATACTCTTTAAGGGCCTGGTAACTGAGGGTCCGGGTCCCCTAGTTGGAGGCTTGGGTCCTCTAAACAGGGGTTTGGACCCTTTATAATTCCTGCCCCGACTGGAGTCTCTGTTTAGAAACATATAGGCTTGAAGCCATCTGTTGGAAGGTGGATAGCATAAGTTTCGGTTTTTTTTTTTTTTTTGCTTTTCTTCATCTCTCCTCACATGTACTTTTTGGGCTTTTCCTAGGAGTTCCTCTATGGACTGGTTTTTCCAGTTTTCTAGTTTCTGCAACTTCTTTGCTACGTCTGGCCAGCTATTTGTGGCAAAATGTAGCTTTAACATTCCTTGCCTGAGAGGGTCTTCTGGATCTAAATCTGCATATTTCCTTATTTGTTCCCTTAGTCTTTTTGGAAATTTCATGGGGCCTTCATCTTTTTCTTATTGTATGTCATAGGCTCAGGAAAGAGTCAGAGTGAGGGGTACTGACTCCTGAATTCCTTTAATTATCATTTCCCTAAGATCTTTCATGTGTTCTCAGTGTACTGCATTGTTATTTTCCCATTGAGGATCTTGGGCGAGGAATTTCTGGTCTGCTGCAGGAACGTTTTGGCTGGGAGGGTGTTCACATTCCCAAGTTGTCATAGTAGCCCTGCAAATCATCGCCCTTTCTTTCCCTGAGAAGAAGATACACAAGATGAACATTGATTCAGCCCAGGTGTATAACTGGGGACCTAGGAATTGATCAATTTGGTCTGCTACCCCATATGGGTCATCTAGCAGTGGCTTAAGTTCTTTTCTTAAACCTCAAACCTCTGAAATAGTCAAAGGAGCATTTGCAAAGCCAATAGCTCCTCCTCCTTGGGGCACCTGTCTCAAAGGAAAGATAGTTGGAGCTGATTCCTTAGAGGTAGAGGGGAAAGGAAGATTTTGAATATCTTTTTTATATTGCTCTACTTCATGTTGCAGTCCCTTTAGGGAAGGATACTTAGGGTGACAAGGAGCAGGCTCATGGGGTGGCGGTAATTCCCAAGAGTCAGACTTATAAGGGGGAGGAATAATAGGAGTAGGAGAAGGATCCGGGACTGGGTCTGGGGCAACAGCAGCTGCCTACAAAGGGGGCAGGTCAAGAAGGGGAGAATTAAACAGGGGAAGGTGGTTTAGAGAATCCCAGGAGTTGGGAGCCCTCTGCCTAGCAGTTGGTTTTACTAGGCCTACTTTGGGGAGTGTGAAATCTGATCCTTCCCCTGCATTCTTTAAGGGAAAGAGGAGAACAGGTTCTTTTCTCCAGCAGACAGCATAGTCTCTTTCTTCCTGCGAAACTGGAATTTTGTCATTCACATACTGAATTAAAAGTTGACAGACCCAATCCTCATCTGATCCATATTTTGGCCAGAAGATGGCAGGTTTGAGGATGGGTTCCTTGGCCCAGATGAAACAACAATACTTTATCATCTGTTGCTTTTTCTTGTGCCTAGTCCTCTCATTCTCCTCTCCATATTTTAGCATGAGACCTAAAGGACTATTGGAGGGGATATGACTATCCCCTTCCTTACCTTTGCCTGTTGTATTAGGAGTGTTTCCAATCTTGGAGGTTTTGGATGCTCCCTTGAGTGTGTGTGTGTGGTCCAACCTCTCTTACTAGAGATCTCTTGCCTTCCCTTTTCTCACGCCCCTTACTGGAGGTTTCTGGCACTCCTTTCCATTTGCTTCATCCTATCTGGCCACTTCCCTTGTGGGAAATTAGATCCCTCTTAGCATTGACATGCTGATATAAGCCCCATGGCAAGATCCACCCTAAGCCATATGAAGTGACCACAGAACCACAGATAGAACCCACTCACCCCACACAACAGTAGTGCTTATCACCATTCACACAAGCAGCACCACAAGCAGTGATCATTTACGCACACTTTCAACCTCCATGATATCTCGACTACCAAGGAAATACTTCACTGCCCCTCTGCAGCTTTTCTTACCTTGGGCTGTGCACGAAGTTATCTGGTCACCATGGTGTTTGTATGCAAGCCTTTCCTTCCCATATTGCTGAGAGTCCGGGTTTATTCGTCACAGCGGGTGGTGGCTGTATCTCTAGCCCCTGAGACCACCACAAGGAGGCAGTGGGATGCATCTCCCCATGGGAGATGACCAGAGACCCCTTCCCCAGAGGAAAATGGGAATCCTGGGCAGGCCCCCAAATTGTTAGAAACAAAGATTTGGTGCCACAAAGTGAAACTAGCACTCAGGCAAAAGTTTTCTCAGCAAGGAAATTTACTTCTATAGAAGGGTGCCTCTTGCATGCAAGGCAGAGGCAAGGGACAGCACACAAAACAAAGGAGAGCAGGAGATTTTTAATCCATAACTCAGACCCTGTTCCTGTGTTCTCCCACTGTGAACTGGGGTCGGACCGTACAACCTAGGCTCACTCCAATCTAGGGTAATCTAGGATACTGTTGGACATCATCAAAGGAGGCAAGGGTGGGCGTTTGATGGGAAGGACAGGTCTGGTACATCATGGAGTGTTTGGGCATAGCAGAGATAGGGAGGGCTGATAGATGAATGGGTATGATTACCTTTTAGAATAGAACAAATAACCAGGAATTGAAACCCTTTGAAGGGGAACTATTTGTTCTTAACAACAAAATGATACCATCAGCAATATATTTTCACCATTTTCCCTCTATTTCTCTGTGCTGGCTTCCTTTTTAGGCAGAATCAGTTTATATAGTGGCAAGAGTGGCCACTAGTAGCTCCAGGTTTAAATTCAACCAGTTTAGCAACCACTATGCAAAAAGAATACCTCTTTAGTTCCAGCAAAGTTCTGGAACTGAGCTTCTAGTAGAGACTTGGACCACATGCTCATTCCCACAGAGAGAAAGAACTAGCAAGTTGGTCCTTTGCATATCATTTGCTTACCCATAAAACTGTGTGTATGGGTAGAAGGGAATCAGTCCCCTACTCAGACCACAAAGGTTGAAAGTGACATAGGCATAGTTACCCAAAGGAATATCAGTGTGCTGTTATCAAAACAAATGGAAATGGACATTTGACAGGCAAAAATAAAAAATGTTCAGTATAAGTGGTGAATGTGTAGTTAATTGAGTACAAAATCAAAGATTATGAAATGTCAGAGGGAGCCAGCTGAGGCTTGAATGATAGCAGAAATGTGTAGGTGGGTTTTGAGATTTTCTTAAAAATGATCAGCAACCCAAGAAGAGAAACAAAAACAGTAAATTGATGTGATTTACATGAAGTTCAGGATTGAAACAGTGAGCATGGTCACAGGACAAAGAGCAAAAGGAATGAAGGTGTCATGAAAGAAGAGCTGAAATGGTAATCCATGGGGCTCAGATTTGTCACGGATGCAATAAAGCCACAGAAACGTTGAAAAAGTAATCCCTGCGAAATGGGAATTTTGTCATTCACATACTGAATTAAAAGTGGACAGACCCAATCCTCATCTGATCCATATTTTGGCCAGAAGATGGCAGGTTTGAGGATGGGTTCCTTGGCCCAGATGAAACAACAATATTTTATCATCTGTTGCTTTTTCTTGTGCCTAGTCCTCTCATTCTCCTCTCCATATTTTAGCATGAGACCTAAAGGACTATTGGAGGGGATATGACTATCCCTGTCCTTACCTTTGCCTATAGAAAAGTCATGATGAGGGTGTCAAAGAAAATGATGAGACAAGTCTTAATCATTTTTGGAGATTTATTCACCAAAGTTAAGGACGCTCACAGGAGACAGGTCTATGCCTTTCTCCGAAGATGATTTTGGGGGCTCCAAGTTTAAAGGGGAAAGGGCAGGATATTGAGAAGCACACAGTTAAACGAAAAGGGGCAAAGGAAAAATGTGGGGAATCTGCATCTTACATAAGATAATACAGACAAAATGGGGTAGGGGAACAATCTGATACACATTTGTGTCTGGCAGCCTGGGTGACTGCACCTACCTGTCAAGATAAGCTATCAATTAGCATTGCCATGGTGAAGTTGTAACAGCTCACCAGGAATTTCCTTGTTGGCAAAACATGGGGAAGGTGGGTAGCTTTTCATCTTGTAGCTATTTTATTTAGGAATCAAAAGGTGGAGACAGGTTTGCATGACCCAGTTCCCAGCTTGACTTTTCCCTTTGGCTAAATGAGTTTGGGGTGTCAACATTTAATTTCCTTTCACAGGGGGAAGATATTGGACAGAAGATAGTGCTAACATGTACCTCCTATTCGGATGGACAGTACGGCATGTGAAGATTCACACCGTGAACTTTTGCTCCAAGAACCACTGCAGGAGCATACTGGGAAAACCTAAAGAATTCACAGATCTTTGAAAGAAGCGCGCATCACTGCAGATTCCATGAGACAGATGAACAACTATTGAGTTTCCATAGTCTGAAAGGGGGAAAACCTGCCTTCAAACACATATTCTCACTGGGGAATCTGAAAATACAGATCACAAGAAAAGGATTTAACCTTATCTAAAGCTGGAATGGATTTAGGGAGCTGTGCGAAATATAAAAGTAAAAGCAACAATGGGAAGAACCTTGTAGGTGCTCCCATTCTTCAGCCTGAGCACAAGGAAGCCATCCCTGATTGTATTTCACAGGAGTCCTCAGGGAAGGCACTCAGCAGAATTAGGGAAGGGTCACAGGGTCTCAGAAGCTTCTAACTGAATTTTGCAATAATTTTAACTGGGCACTAACTTTTTTGACAGAATCTGGGGGTGAATAGGAACTGCTGCAGATACAAGAGCAGGAGTTACAGCCAACTTTGTTGGCAGATGGGGAGGGGCAAGGCCTGAAAGCAGTGCTTCCTTGCTAAGTGGGGTAGTTTATGGCCTGAGGCAAGGTCTGAGTTTCAGGAGAGCAAGTTGCGTGGATCTAAACTTGGCATTGTTAGTAGGACATTGTGGGAGCGAGACCAGCCTTGCCAACTGCGTGGGAGATGGCTGAGACCTTTTGCTACTAGCTATTCCCCACCTACCTGGTGAACAATACTGCTAAGCAGAGTCAGCTGTACTCCTTTCTGGAACATAACCTCATTGGTCTGAGAACGACCCTCCCAATCCCCACAGTGGCATGGCAAGCCCACCAGAGGAGAGTCTGAGCTCAGACTTTAGAGCTTTATAGTCCCATCCATTGCCTGAGTAACCAGAGTACCTCACCTGGTCAACTTAGGGGAGGCTTATATCTGACTACTAATAACACAGCTGGTGCTCTCTTGAAAGCACCATCTCCTGGCTGAAGGCCAACCAACTCAGGCCTTTACAGCAACTCATGACAGAATGACCCTGCTCCCAGGAAGGAGAAAACAACAGTTAATACCACCACCTGCTGTATCCTGGCTAACCAGAGGCCCTGAGTCTGTCCACATGAAAACTTCACCACCAGCATAATCAGCATTCAAGAAAGCCAGCACACTAAGCCTATCTGCAACCAAAGACTCTCACAGAATCTACTTCACTCTCCTGCCACTACCACCAGAGCAGGTGCCGGTATTCACAGCTGGGAGACCTCAAGACGGACCACATCACAGGACTCTTTGCAGCCATTCCTTAGCACCAGCCTGGAGTTTGGTGGCCCCACTGGGTGGTTTGACCCAGAAGAGCAATAACAATCACAGCAGTCCAGCTCTCAGGAAGCCCCATCCCTAGGGGAAGGGGAAGAGCAGCACATCAAGGGATCACCCCATGGAACAAAAGAATCTGAAAAGCAGGCCTCAAGTTCCAGATTTTTCCACTAGTGGTTAGTTTCTGACAGCAGAGACACAATTGCAGTGCTGGGTGCAGTAGGGAAAGTCTGCATCTCTACCCCATCAGGCAGGCAGCCTCTGTGATGGTGAAAAGGCTTGGAGAAGGGGTCCATGTTCCCCTCTGGCACTCCACCACAGACTCAGCTACACAGCTGGGGCTTCCCTCAGAGGAACACAGCATGGAGGCACCTATAGACAATCTTTCTGGGAAAATCCAGAGTAAGTGCAACCCCACAGGAGGACCACACTTCAGATTCAGGCCTGCATGAGAGGCAGAGTCACAGTTCCTTCTACATCTGGCTTTCTACCGCAGCAACCTAGACCAAAGCACTTGCCATCTTTATTTTTATTTAACAAAGTATGAGATGTGGCACTGCAATTATGAAAAGAAACATGGCCCTCAGGGAAAGCTAATTATTAGCTTTCATATATTTTCTGCCATGGATTGTAATCCTCAAGAGGATAGGGATTGTACTTGACTTATTTTTGTCTGCTTGGTGACACACTTGTTAGGACTGGCATAATTCTCCTCCTGTCTTAATAGGGGTAGATGTATTTTGGCTCCTGGATTCTAGCTATAATGATAGACTTGTTATCTGAAAGGGAAACCTCCCTGTAGACATTGCCAAAAGGTTTGCCTGAGTTTGCTGAGATAATATGCCAAATTTTCTGGCACCTGATTAAGTTCCCTGACCACCTGAATGTTCATTCTGCGAACCTCTAATGTGGGTCTCATTCTCCTGGACAAGCCTTGCCTTTCTGTCTCTTCCCGTCTGTCTCTCTGTTTTTCAGCCAGGGCGCAGTCCTAACCAGCTGAGTTCTCTGGCCTTACCTCCTTCAGCTCAGACTCCCTGGTGAAAGCTGTTTTGCCTAATTTTCCATTAGCTGCCCCTCTGAATTGCTGACCCAGCATAATGGCCGGTTGCTGGGCTGATGAAGCTTTGCTGCCCCCTTCTGGCGAATGTTTAGCAAATGTTTGTAATGAATTTTGGAAATAGAATTGCATGCCTTTCCAGATGCTAGTGTATAATGAAAAGCTGCATTTAAAAAAATTAAATACTGCTTATTGAGACGATCCTGTGTGGAAGAAATATGAGGCACTGCAGATACAGTGGTGAGTGAAACACACAAAAATCTGTGCCCTCATTGAACAGTCGGGAGGAAACATACAAGACATACATAACAGGAAAAAGTAAATCCAAGATTACACAAGCAATATAGCTGGGAATGGAGATATGGAGTGGGGAAGGGGCATTTAAATTTTAGATAAGGTCAGGGAAGACCTCCCTGAGATGTAAAGCACATGAAGGAAGTGGCAAAGAGAACAGTAAACACTGAGGCAACAGGCTGTTGGAATGTTTGAGGAACATCAAGCAGGCCATGTGGCTGCCGCACTGCAGCAGAGTGACTGAGGGAGAGTAGTGCATAGGCCAGAAAGCTGAGTGTAGACAGGAGGGGGCAGAGCACACAGGGCCAGATGGGTAATTTTATACATAGGTATACATGCATACATACATATACACATACACATACATATATGTATGTATACACAGATGCAGAGACACACACAGAGATACACATAGAGACACATACATACATGCAGAGTCATGCAAAGACACACAGACACGTAAATGAGACACACACCCACAGATAAATGCAGAGAATAGAGACAGACACACACAGATACACATGTACAGTCATAGACAGGCACAGACAGACACACACACAGAGACATACACAGAGAAAAGAGACAAATACAGAGACATATACAGAGACATATGTACAGAGTCACACACAGAGATGGGAGCAAACACAGAGAGAGACAAATATATCTGAATCAGACTGGAAACTATTGGAGAGTTTTGAATAGAGGGGATATGTGGCAATGCATATTTACACTGATCACTCTGAAGACTGCATGAATAATAAATTATAGGTGTGGCAAGGGACGAGCAGAGAGACATATTAGGAGGTGAGGAGTAACACTGACTCGGACCAGCATGGTAAAATGGAGGTAGTGAGATATGGTCCAGTTCTGGGTGCGTTTTGAAGACAGAAGATTTGCTGATGGATTGAATGAGGGGTATAAAAGAGAGGACTCAAGGATAACTGGATGGCTGAGCAATTTAATAGCTGAAGTCATGTATTGAGATGGAGAAGTCTCTGGGAAGGCCAGGTTGGAGGAGTGAAGGTAGAGAGAACAAAAGTTATTATTTGGAAATGTTTAGTTTGAGATGCTTGTTGGACATATACCAAAGAGGAGATCAGAGGAGAAAACTAGGGTAGTGATACAATGTTTGGCGACACACCCTAAAAATGGTACTTAGAGTCATGAAACTGGATGAGGTCAGATTAAGAACATCAGTTCAATGTGGCAGAAGTTCTTATCACTTGCAACCTGAACATGGTTCTGACTTCAGTGCAGCTTCGAGATTTAAATGCCCATTTTGCCATGTGGTGACTTTATTGTCCTATTACTTTTCTCTATTTGAACTGTTGTAAAACATATAGCTCTAGCTGTATTTATCTGTTTTTCATGTGGCATGACTATCTGTTATGAATTATATTCACCTGTTTTTTTCTCCTTATTTCATCACAATTATAATAGCTGCTAGCAGCAACAATTGTGAACACAATTGCAAATAAGCACACTTGCAAATACTGGCAGTGTTAGGGTGTGCTTGTTATGTCTTCCCAAATCCTCTTGTTAAACTAAAAATATTTCTACATAACCTTTAATACTCAGTTTAAATGTCATCCCTTCTGCGAAGCCCTTGTCTCTGGGCAGTGCCTACTGCTCCTTTTCCTGTATTTTCATCATGCCTTGTTTATACCTTTCTTATAGCCTTTGTCATGAAACTGATTATCAGCTTTTATATCTTTTCTGCCATGGATTGTAATCCTCAAGAGGGCAGGGATTGTACTTTACTTATTTTTGTCTGCTTGGTATCACAGTTACTATCACATAGTATGTGCTTGATAAATAAATACCACTAATGCTAAATACAATAATGAACTTTTCATTTGGGTCACTTTTATGTTGAATAAATTAAAATTATATAATTTTATAAATATCTTAATTTCTAGATACTTCCAAATAAAGCAAGAAAAGGGCTCTCTATTCCTCTCTGGGCTATGTAAATGGCTGCCTAGGTTTTTATTTTGTTTGACATTAATTTAGATGGCCAAAGAAGATTCTGTCTGAAGAGCTGTCGGACTTCATTCCCCACTGCTGCTCTTTGGCAAGTCTCACATCAAAGGGCTGTTTGGAAGTTTATCCGTGTTGAGACTTTCTGGCTTCTTGTACTAGTTTGGAATGAAAACCTATTCTGGAGATTTACTGTGTGGTTCCCTGGTATGGGTCGAAACTTTTTATCAGGAATTATTAACCCCAGGCCTATTCCTAGGCAAATGTTTGCCCATGAATTTTGGTCCTTTATGTGTTTTGTTCTAATCCAGCTTAAATGTTGTTTCCATTAGCTATATTACTTTATAAACCTTTATTTAGCTGTTAACTAATTTTCCATATAGGAAAGTGTTTTGGAGCCTCCCTGTTCCAAGAAGTCCAGATAGAAAATGACAGCCATTCAAGCTTCTAATTAGGCAAAAGATCTTTAAAGAAATATCTACTAAATATTTCCTATGTGCCAATTGTTTTGAGTGCTAGAGACACAGTACTGTGTCCAATAAAGTTCTTGTCTCACAGAGCATACTCTTTAGTGAAGAGATGACCGGTAATAAACATTAAATAAACAAGTATGATAATTTCAGATAATGATATGCTACAAAGTAAATACAACCGGATGTGAGAAAAAAAGGTGTGAAAGGGTGACTCACAACTGAGTGTATGGGTGCCAAAGCATTGTGCCTACTTAATGTGTCAGCACAGGCATATGCTACAACGTGGATGAACCTCCCTGTTCCAGCTGTTGGATTCTTCTCAGAGGTCCCAGTGTTTTGGTTCATCTCCACCATACTCTTCTGAATTTATTCTCTGAAACGTTTCTGTGTTCTGTGTTGGGTTCTGTACCCTGGAAGGCTGATGTCCACAGACCATTACCTGGGTTCTCTGTCCTATGGCTTCCGGTTGGATTCTACAAGCATTGGCTGGTGATCAGAGGGTGGAAGGAAAAAGAGGTTGAGATCTTTTCTCCTCTCTCTCCCTCCATGACTACAGCATAGTGTGGCAGCCCTGCATTACTTGACAGCCATAGCTCCTGGCAGATGGCACATCTTCTTTGCTGCTTCAAGACTAAGGGTGATAATAGTGTGAAGCTATAATAATCACACTACTCACACCTCTATAAATAGGACCTTCATTTAAGTTTCTTCTCCGAAGCCCTTTCGTGTGTGGCTTCTATTTCCTGCCAGGAACATGAATGATACAGCAGGAATGTTAAAGAATAATCACCCATGTAGACAGATCCTCTCTCAGTCCATTTCCAGTTTCTCAGATATTCTAGCCCTGTCTCTTTCACATTAGAGGTATTTATATATATTTTGCTATTCATGATGAAAATCTTGGAAAGATCTACTCTGGGGGCTCCAGAGCCTCTGAAAAATAGTATCACACAGACCTGATCCCTTCTTTAAGGTTGTTTTTACCTATAATTTGGTTTAATAAGCCCACACTATTATTGCTATGCATAGCAGTTTTTTCAGGTGATACTGTGAAAACTAAATCAAAAGGTTTATACTTCAAGGTATGGAAAATCTCTTTATATTAAATGGAAAAGTAATATTTTTGGTGAAATAAAGGCTTAATGATTTAAACAATGTGACTCCTACTGTAACTCTTAATAGTGAAAGTGTATTTGCTGCATTATTTACTCAGTGGGGTAAGAGTGCATCTAATTTATTTTATCTGCGAATATATTGAACTCTGGCTCACCTCTATGGTTATCAAAAATCATATCCTCTTGCATCCAAGAAATTAAAAGTAATCTAACACAATATTCTAAATAATAAAAGATTAATCTCTACCATAAAATCCTCAATAAATGGCTTTCCAGTTTTTGCTATAATGTTTTCAGTTTGTGAGATCTCATCATGCCACCTTAAAAGGTCATCCATTCCATTTACATCACCTTTAAGTATTAGAAAGTATTATTGATCTCAAATCAACCTCTCCATAACTTCCTTTTTCTCCCAATTTTTCTTATTGTGATAAAATACACATAACATAAAATTTACTATCTTAACCATTTTAAGTGTACAGGGCAGTAATATTAAGTATGTTCATATTGTCATGCTATCATCACCAGCATCTATCTCTAGAACTCTTTTTAACTTGCACAACTGAAACTATACACCCATTAAACAATAATTCCTGTTTTCCTCCTACTGGAAACCACCATTCTACTTTCTGGATTTTTTTTTTTATGATTTTGACTATTCAAAATACCTCAGATAAGTAGAATCATATAATATTTGTGTTTTAGTAACTAGTGTATTTTATTTAGCATAAGGTCCTCAAGGTTCATCCACATTGTAGCATATGCCAGAATTTCCTTCTTTTTTAAGGTTGAAATATTCGTGTGTGTGTATAATGTGTGTGTGTTGCTTTCATTATTAAAAGAAAAACTTCAGCTGTATTAAATTTAAAGAGGTTTAATTGAGCAATGAACGATTCACAAATTGGGCAGCCCCCAGAATCACAGCAGATTCAGAGAGACCCCAGGGAGACCATGTGGTCAGAACAAATTTATAGACAGAAAAAGAGAAGCGACCTACAGAAATTGGAGGTAAGGTACAGAAACAGCTGGGTTGGTTACAGATTGCCATTTACCTTATTTGAACACAGTTCAATGTATTACTGGTTGAAGTATGGCTGTTAGGATTGTTCAAGACTCAGCCACTGTTACGGGTGCATACTGTTAAGTCAAGTTTTCAATCTTGTCTACCCACTAAGTTAGGTTGCAGTTGGTCCACAAGGACTCAAATATGGAAGTATGAAGTCCTCTCAGGCCATATTTAGTTTGCTTTAACACCATATTTTAGCTATTGTGAATAATGCTGCTATGAACATGGATATACAAATACCCCTTTGAAACCTTGTTTTCAGTTATTTTAAGTACATATTCAGAACTGGAATTGCTGGATCATATGGTAAATCTATTTTTAACTTTTGAGAAATTGCTGTACTGTTTCCCACAGTGGCTGTAGTAGTTTATGGTCCCGCTAACAGCACACAAGTGTTCCGATTTCTCCACATCTTTACCAACACTTATTTTTTTTTCCTGTTAGTAGTCATCTTAATGAGTGTGAGGTAGTATCTTATTGTAGTTTTGATTTGAATTTTCCTAGTGATATTGAGCATCTTTTCATGTGCTTATTGGCTATTTGTATATCTTCTTTGGAGAAATGTCTACTGAAGTCATGTGCCCATTTTTGAATCAGGTAGTTTTCTGTTGTGAAATTTAAGAAATTCTCTATGTATTCGGGATACTAATCCCTTAAAAGATATGTAATTTGCAAATGTCTTCTTGCAAATATTTTCTCCCATTCTGTAGGTTGACACTCTATTTTATCAATAGTGTCTTTTGATGTACAAACATTTAAAAACTTATGAAGTTCAATTTGTTTATTTTTTTCTTTTGGTGTCAAATCTAAGAAATAGTTGTCAAATTCAATGTCATGAAGCATTTGCCCTGTGTTTTGTTCTAAGAGTTTTATCGTTTGAGGTCTCACATTTAGGTCTTTGATATGGTTTGACTGTGTCTCCACCCAAATCTCATCTTGAATTGTAATCCCCATCATCTCTAGGTGTTGTGAGAGGAAACTGGTGAGACGAAATTGAATCATGTGGGGAGTTTCCCCCACGCTGCTCTGGTGATAGTGAGTTCTCGTGGTTTTATAAGCATCTGGCATTTCCCCTGCTGCACTCATTTTCTCTCCTGCCACCTTGTGAAGAGGTGCCTTTTGCCACGTTTGTAAGTTTCCTGAGGCCTTCCCAGCCATGCAGAACTGTGAGTCAATTAAACCTCTTTTTGTTATAAATTACCCAGTCTCAGGTATTTCCTTATAGCAATGTGGGAACAGACTAATATAGTCATGGATGCATTTTGAGGTTTTTTTTTTTTTTATATGGTGTTAGGTAAGGGTCCAACTTCATTTTTCGGCATGAGCATATCTAGTTTAGCCAACACCCTTTGTTGAAAAAATGGACTTTTCTCCATTAAGTGGTCTTGACATTTCTGTTGAAAATAATATGACTATACATATAAAGGTTTGTATCTACAGTCTGTATTCTATTCCGATAGTCTATGTTTGTCTTTATGCCAGGTCTACACTGTTTTGATTGCTGTATCATTGTAATAAATTTTGAAATGTGGAGGTGTGATTCCTCTAGCTTTGTTCTTCTTTTCTTGGAGTGTTTTGGCTATTTGGGTCCTTTGAGATACTAACTCATATAGTTATGAGTTTTAGCATGGGTTTTCTTATTTCTGTAAAAAAGGTCATTGGGATTTTGATAGTGATTAAATTAAATATGTAGATTGCTTCGGGTAGTATTGAGATCTTAACAATACTAAGCCTTCCGGTCCATGAACAAAAGATGTCTTTCCATTTATTTTTGTCTTCTTTGTTTCAAAAATTTTAAAAAGAATTTTCACTCTACAAGTCTTTCATCTGATTGGTTAATTCCTAAGTATTTTATTCTTTATAATGCTATTGTGGTCTAAATGTGTCTCCCCCATAGACACATATTCATGTTGAAACTTACTTGCCAATGTAATAGTCTTAAGAGGTGGAGTCCTTAGGAGATGATTAAGTCATGATGGCCATCCTCATGAATGGAATTAGCACTCTTATAAAAGAGGTGTGAGGGAGCTGTTTGCCCCTTCTGCCATGTGAAGATATAGCAAAAGGCACCATCCTGCAAGTAGAGAGCTGCCCTCACTAGACATTGAATTTTCTGGTGTTTTGATCTAGGACTTCCCAGGCTCCAGAAATATGAGAAAATGAATGCCTGTTCTTTATAAACTACCCAGTCTCAGGTATTTTGTTATAGCAGCAAGAATAGACTAAGACAGATGTTATTGTAAATTGAATTGTTTCTTAATATTCTTTTCAGATTGTTCATCATCAGTGTATAGAAATGTGATTGATTTTAGTGTGTTTCTATCCTAAGTAGCTGAGATGATAGGCATGTGCCACCATGCTCAGCTAATTTTTGTATTTTTAGTAGAGATGGGGTTTCGCCATGTTGGTCAGGCAGTTCTTGAACTCCTGAGCTCAAGTGAACTGCCTGCCTTGGCCTCCCAAGGTGCTGGGATAACAGGCATGAGCCACCTGCACCCAACCTGTTTTCATTAATCTTTAAGTATTTTCTAAATTTCCCTGTGATTTCTTTTTCATTGATTAGTTGTTTAAGAGTATGTTGTTTAATTTCTAAAAATTTATAAATTTTTCAGTTTTCTTCTGTTATTGATTTCTAATTTCATCCTGTCATGGTCAGAGAAGATGCTTTGCATGATATCTATCTTTTAAAATCTATTGAGACTTAATTTGTGACCTAACATATAGTCAATTTTGGAAAATCTACTACATGCTCTTAAGAAGAATGCATATTCTGTTGCTGTTGAGAAGAATGTTCTGTATATGTCTGTTAGATCTAGTTGATTTATTGTGTTGTTCAATTTTTCTACTTCCTTCTTTATCTCCTGTCTGGTTGTCTATTATTGAGAGTGGGATATTGAAATCTCCAACGATTTATTGTAGACTGTCAATTTATCTTTTCAGTTTTGTTAATTTTTTTCTTCATATAATGTATGGTCTGTTACTAGGCATATAAATGCTAATTATTATTTCATCTTGCTATATTGAATCTTTTATGAATATATAATGTCCTTCTTTGTCTTTTGTAATACTTTGAACTTAAAGTTTATTTTGTCTGACACTGGTATAGGCACATCTCCTTTGTTTTGATTGCTATTTGCATGGAATATTGTTTTCTATACTTTCACTTTCAACCTATTTGTGTCTTTAGATAAAAAGTGAGTCTCCTGTACACAGCATATAGTTGAATCACATTTTAAAAATATATTACTTCAATCTCTGTCTTTTGATTGGATAGTTCAATCCAGCAATATTTAAGTAATTACTGATAAGAAGGAACTTACTTCTGTCATTTTGGTATTTGTTTTCTTGTCCCTCATTTCCTGCATTACTATCTTCTTTATTGTTTAGTTGATTCTTTTGTAGTGAGACATTTAAAATAAATTCTCATTTTCTTTTTTATATATTCTATAGCATTTTCTTTGTGGTTGTCATGAGGATTATACTTAAGATCCTAATTTTGTAACCCCCTACTTTGAATTTATACCAGCTTAACTTCAATGTCTTACAAAAACTGCTAAATTAACAGCTGTCTCCACCTCTGTAAATTGTTAATGTCACAGAATTGCATCTTTCTATGTGTGCTCTCAAATATAAGCTATTAGTTCTATTAAATGTATTTATCTCTCAAATTATGTAAAAAACAAAATGTGGGGTTACAAACCAAAGTAATAATAGTACTAAGTTTTAGGCTAATAATTATTTTTTAAAATGTCTCTTAAATCATGCAGAAAACAAAGAGTTATGCACTATTGTTATACTAGTTTTTATAATTGCCAGTGTATTTACATTTACTGAGATCTTTCTTCATAACGCTTTGAGTCTGTCTACTATTCTTTTATTTAAACCTACAGGACTCTTACTAGCATTTCTTGAAGGGCAGGGCTAGTGGTAATAAACTCCCTCAGCTTTTGTTTATCTGAGAGTATCTTAATTTCTCTTTCATTTCAAAATACGGTTTTGCCAGATGTAATATTCTTGGTTGATGGTTTTTTTTCTTCTAGCACTTTGAATGTATCAGTCTGATGACTTCTGGCCACTGAAGTGTATGATGAGAAACTTTATTTAGGATCCCTCTTATATGGTGAGTCACTTCTCTTGTTGGTTTAAAAATCCCATCTTTGTCCTTGGCCTTCAACAGTTTGAGTATGTATCTCAGTGTGGGTCTCTTTGAGTTCACTCTGTTTAGAGTTCGTTAAGCCTCTTGTGTGTTTATATTCATGACTTTCATCATGTTTGGAAAGTTTTGGTTAATTTTTATTCACATATTCTCTCTGCCTCTTTTTCTTTTTCTTCTTCTTCAGCTCCCCAATGCATAGAGTAGTCCACTTGATGGTGTTCCACATGTTCCTTAGGCTCTGTTCACTTTTCTTCAACCTTTACTCTTCATGTTGCTCAGGCTTGATCCATTGTCCTATCTTCAAGTACACTGATTCTTTCTTCTACCTGCTCAAATGTACCTTTAAATATCT